TATATATATATATATATATATATATATATATATATATATATATATATATATATATGTATATATATTGTTGAAGCTGTGCTTGAGTCATTTTCCTGCATAACAATGTATAAGATAAGAATAATACTAATATTAATGGGCTCCAGCCCCTTATTACTATGTATTATCTCTATTACTTCTGTTTTTGTTGATGGGCTGGCGACGCACCCTTTGAGCGCAGTGCCATCCGCAGCCGCGCGCAGTCTGCAGATTCGTTGCCGTCATCCTTCGGTTTCGCCTTTTCTCTTTCGTGCATTGTCTCAGTACAACCTTGGCGTTTAGTCCCTGTACAAATGGCTGAGACGCGCATTCTATTTGCCTGTTACTATGGGAATATAACGCTATTTGTCTTTTCTTTCTTTCTCCAATTCTGTGGCATTTCCCTGGTTTTCATGTTTGCCTATATATACTATTCGAATTCGTAGCATCTACCAATTAGATTGTTGATCTATATATATTATTCAAATCTGTAGCTTTCATTAGGCTGTCTTGTTGGTTTAAATTCTTATAGTTTTGCTTCTTTTCTGTGTGTTTTCTGCTTCTGCGGAGACGGCCGAGGGGGAGCTGTGGATTACCTTTGCACAAGGAGCTGTTATGGCCAACGTTCTGAGGCGTTTTCGCTTTCAGTGCCCGAAGTTCAGCTTGCTGCTGCCGCAACAGNTGTTATGGCCAACGTTCTGAGGCGTTTTCGCTTTCAGTGCCCGAAGTTCAGCTTGCTGCTGCCGCAACAGCTGCTGCGCTTCTTCCAGTTGGCTTTGCAACTCCTGCTTCTCCTTCTCGCTCGCTGTGATCTCCTCCTGAGCCGCACTTGCATCCTGTAGCCTGGCCGCCTCCAGCGCCTCGAGCTGCGTCACCCGCACAACGCTAATAAATAATAATAACGAATCCGTCACTTGTCCTTAGTTCCAACATCTCAGGCTGAAACAATAGATATAGAGTTATATGTTATTGATGAGGCCCTGCAAATCGCCCTGGACCCTTCTTGAAGAATGTAAGTTCTGTATCCCCATTAAAGCTGCTCTAGAATGCGTACTTGTCTAGGGTTTAGGGTTTAGTGTAAGGGTTTTAGGGTTTACGGTTCAGCAGCGCGTTAGCATGGAGGGGTATCTTGTTCACCTGCTTAATTCTTTGGGTTGCTTGTTCTGCGGCGCGCAGAAGGCTTTCGTTGCGACTGCGGTAAGCTGCACGCAGCCTCAGGGTCAGTGCGCATACCACGAATTCTAGAGCAGGTTTAATGGGGATACAGAGCTTTGCATTCTTCAAGAAGGGTCCAGGGTTATTTGCAGGGCCTCATCAACAACATATATATCCATATCTATTGATGGCTCAGCCGCTTACACGCAGCGAGGCGAACAAGTTGCATGTGTTTTGCCTCCAGAACTCGCAGCTTCTGCTTGGCCGACTGATCTGCCTGAAATCCATCATCGAAGCATAAATGGNTGCCTCCAGAACTCGCAGCTTCTGCTTGGCCGACTGATCTGCCTGAAATCCATCATCGAAGCATAAATGGACCCACTATCTTTGTCAGCCATATATGCATCATGCTGTCTGCAACAGCTGAGCCAGAGTCGTTTAATAATGCATTATTTAATAACACTAAACGCTGATTAGCAAGTGTACCCTGGCATCCCTATCCGCAGCCCTGTAGAGAGGGCAGCGATAGGCTAAACCCTAAACCCTGAACTCTAAGCCTTTCGTGGGTTTGCAATAACGATAATAAAGGCGCCCGGTGGAGTTGGTTACAGGGACTCCCTATCCATTTGTCTGTGATTGGAGCTGGTTGAGGCAATCGAGCGTTTCACTGCATAGACTGCGTTGCCGCGCTTTCAGCTACTTCTATATGGTTCCTGCATGTACTGCATTGCTGCTTATTCAGGTTCTTCTATAATGTTATTGCAGATGCTGCATTGTTGTTGCTTCAGTTCTGTCTGCCTCACCCCTGC